GCACCTCCCACAGCTAATTAGCTACCTAGGAAGGATCTAGGGAGCGTCATAAGGTCAAGCCTAATTATGCTCAGAGGACTGTGCCCTCTAAGCTGGGACTTGTTTGTGGCTTTGCCAACAGGTCAGTTTGAGGCTTAGCCCCATAGCCGCTCTCTACATAAATCAGTAAACCCCATCAGCGTTGTTGACTGTCTAGACCAGCGGTTCCCAACCTTGCAGCCAAAGTCACAGTCTTGCCCAGCGGTTCACTCTTTGGCAGGACAGATGCTGACCCTGAGCTGTCCTAGGAATGCGCCTTCCTGCCTCCGTGGACTCCATTATCCAACCAAAAGGTTGGTCATCAATGCATCCTTTGGATTGATTGATTTGTGTTTTTTAAATATATTTTTACTGACTTCAGAGAGGAAGGGAGAGGGGGAGAGAGAGAGAGAAACATCAATGATGAGAGAGAATCATTGATCTGCTGTCTCCTGAACACCCCACACTGGGGATCGAGCCCACAACCCTGGGCATGTGCCCAGGAATCGAACCTGGGACCCTTCACTCTATCCACTGAGCCACACCAGCTCGGGCCTTTGGGTTGGTATATGACCAAAAGGAGGACGTGTGGACAAAAAGGGGCCGCCTGTTAACCCTGACAAGCTCAGGGAAGGCCTGCGTGGCAGACTTATGAACTCAGAGACCTAACGTAACCACAGGATTGTGATTGCATACGAAGAAGCTAGAAGAAGCCCAGGACAAGCGGAATAGGGAAGCAGACAGATTTCAGCCCCCCAGCAAATCCCATCTCCCCAAACCAAGGACACTTACGAGCAAATGGCTTACACGTCCCCCCAACCAGAGGGTGAATGGCCAAACCACCTACTCGGGCAGACAGACAGCAGCAATCCAATGAAGTGCCCACGGACAGGCAAACTAAGACAGTAAAGCTCACGGTGGTGCATCAGCATCAAACTGATTATTATTCTGGCCCTAACCGGTTTGGCTCAGTGGATAGAGCGTCGGCCTGCGGACTGAAGGGTCCCAGGTTTGATTCCGGCCCAGAGCATGTACCTAGGTTGCGGGCACATCCTCAGTAAGGGGTGTGCAGGAGGCAGCTGATCAATGTTTCTCTCTCATCAATGTTTCTAACTCTCTATCCTTCTCCCTCCTCTCTGTAAAAAGTCAATAAAATATATGAAAAAAAAACTGATGAATATTCTCTGATCCTCCCCTAAGACTTCCCCTAACGCCTGTCGGAGCAGCAGCAGGAGCAGGGTGGCCTGCGGGCTGACGGCTCTGGGTGGCGGTGTGTCCAGTATCCCCCCAAACCCTCCCATCCGGCTGCGCCAGGGCAGGTCCTGCTCGAACCCTGCCCCCGGTGCCGACTGTGGGAACTTAGTCCAAGGTCCTCCTCTCTCCTCTGCTCGCTACTCACAGGTGTCGGGTCCGAGCCCTCTGCCTGGGGCTGGACCTCCCGGGACGCCGGGTCTCAGACGGAGAAGCCACAAGAGGCTGTGGGTGTATAAGGATGAGTCCTTATTGCAGGAGCCAGTGGCCAGATCGCCCTCAGACAGAACAGTCCCCACAGCCAAGTCCACGCAGGCAGGCAGCGGGCACCGGCTGGTGAGCATACCTCTTCCCCATGAAGCAGCATCCGTCCCTGCACCCACAGCTTCAGCTGAGCAGCCGCACGCTGCCTCCTAGACCCGTGGTCGGCAAAATCATGAGTCAACAGAGCCAAATATCAACAGTACGACGACTGAAATTTCTTTTGAGAGCC